GACACCATGAAAGACTGAACCTGAGAATAATAGGTCCAGAAGAAGAAGTCCAACTCAAAGGCACAGAAAATATATTCAACTAAATCATAGAAGAAAACTTTCCCAACCTAAAGAAGGGCATGCCTCTGAAAATACAGGAAGCTTACAGAACACACACACACACACACACACACACACACACACACACACACACACACACACACACACACAAAGAAAAGAAAAGAAAAAAGAAAAAGAAAAAAGTCCCTTCATCACGTAATAATAAACGTACAGTACAGAATAAAGTAACAAGAACTTCAAAGGAGAAAGTCCAGGTAACATAGACAGACCTATCAAAATTACACCTGACTTCTGTAAAGCAAAGAACATGGTCAACAAAACAAAATGGCTCCCTACTGAACGGGAAAAAAATCTTTGGCAACCCCACCTCTGACAGAGGACTGATCTCCAAAATATACAAAGAACTCAAGAAACTAGAAATCAAACTACCAAATAATCCAATTAAAAATGGGGATACAAATCTAAACAGGGAATTCTCAACAGAGCAATCTCAAATGGGGACAAGACACTTAAGGAAATGCTCAGCATCCTTAGTCATCAGGGAAATGCAAATCAAAACCACTCTGAGATTCCTTCTTACACCTATCAGAATGGCTAAGATCAAAAACACCAAAGACAGCTTATGCTGGAGAGGATGTGGAGAAAGGGGCACACTCCTCCACTGCTGGTGGGAGTGCAAACTTGTACAGCAGCTGTGGAAATCAGTATGGTGATTTCTCAGAAAATTAGGGATCAACCTACCTTTAGACCCTGCAATACCACTGTTGGGCATGTACCCAAAGGAGGCACATTTACACCACAAGGACATTTACTCAACTATGTTCACAGCAACATTATTTGTTGGAAACAATCTAGATGCCCTTCAACTGAAGGATGGGTAAAGAAAATGTGGTATATTTATACAGTGGAGTACTACTCAGTGGTAAGAAAAAATGACATCCTAAAATTCACAGGCAAATGGACAGAACTAGAAAAAACCATCCTGAGTGAGGTAACCCCAAACCAGAAAGACAAATATAGTATGTACTCACTCATAAGTGGATACCAGATATAAAACAAAAGATACCCAGCCTACAATCCATAATTCCAGAGAAGCTAGAACCCTCTCCCAGAAACAGATGGAAGCAGATGCAGAAATCCACAACTAACCAATGGGCCAAGCTCCCGGAGTACAATCTAAGTGAGGGAGGAGAGATAACATGAACAAAGGAGCCAAGACCATGATGGGGAAACCCACAGAATCAGCTGACCCGAGCTAGTGAGAGATCACTGACTCAGGTCTGACAAATGGGAATCTGCATAAGACTGAACTAGACCCCCTGAATATAGGAGACAATGGTGTGACTGGGACAATATATGAGGCCACTGGCAGCGGGTCCGAGACCTAACACTAATGCACAGACTGACTCAGTGGAGCCCATTCTGTATGGAGAGACACCTTGCCCAGCCCAGACACAAGGGTGTGGGGGTGGGGAGGAGCCTTGGTCCTGCCTCAATGAGATGATGGGATAGACTTAGTAGACTTCCTAGGGGAGGCCCTACCCTCTCCGAGGAGCAGAAGGGAGGAGCTGGTAAAGGAGGGAGTGGGAGGCAAGGAGGGAGGAGGAACTGAGATTGGAATGTAAAAACTTAAATTAATAAAACATAATGGCTCAAATGGGTGCAAAGGGCAGCCGAGTGCCAGTTGTTAGACCTACAGTCTCATTTTCTTCGATACAGTGACCGAGTACCACAGACTTACTTCATCCTCCTTGTGGCACAGCCCTTACCAAGTCTCCCTGATATGCATCAGTGCAGGCTTCAACACTGTTTATCTAGGTAGCCTGAAGCTTGTCTGGCAGACAGACATAGGTTCTTAATGGACCGGCCACTGGGGAGGGTGGAAAGCTGTAGCATCATGATGAGGGCAAAGGAGGTTCTCGGTGCCTGCATTCCTGGTGGCAACCCAGCTGACCGGGACTCTAGTCTACCGTGGTACCCTCTCAGCTACCTGAGAGGCAGTTCCTTCCCATCTGCTTTCCCGTCCATGTTCCCAGCTAGCCGTCCCCGAAAGTGGCCTTTCTCTTTTCAAAAAGAAAACAGTCCCTCCCTGTCTTCTGCTCTCCTCCTTACCCAGCTTAGTTCTCTGAAGCTACTGAACCAGTAAACCCTCAGAAGGGCAGGGCTTCATTTCTAAAGACGTGGGCAGCTGGGCAGGGGACAGGGCTACAACTTCTGGGCCATGTTTTAGGTTCTTACCACTCAGGCCACGCTTGTTGGGAGGGTCTAGAATGGGGGCAGGCGTGGTGGACACTAGGTGCTTATTGAAGGGAACAGAGATTTCGTCTTCCATGCTGTGTGCTGGCCATGAGATGGCAACTGCCAACCAAAAGATGGATGGTCCCAGGGCAAGCAGGGCCATTTCTGATTCTGCCTGTCTCTTTTCTACAGAGGTTTTGGCTGAAGAGCAGTGAAGAGGGTGAATCCCTTCAGCCAGCTCCAGCCAATCAGGAGAGCAGCCAAAGTGTATCAGGAGGGAACCTTGGGAGGTCAGGAGTGACTGGCAGGGGCACAGCATGTATGTTCATGTAGAGGGTACAGCATGTATGTTCATGTAGAAAGACCACATAACCCTGGGAAAGGGCATCAGGTGGTCGGGGTAGTGGAGACCACTAGTTACTTCTGCAACGTTCTTTAGCTGTCTATGAATAAGCCAGAAGTGTGGTGGTATGTGCCTGTAATCCCATCACTCTGGTGGCTGAAGCAGGAGGATTGCCAACTTGAGAACAGCCTGAGCTGTATAGAGCTTATAGACCCTGCCTCAAAAGCCAGACACAAAGCCGAAGGTGGGGGGCAGCAGAGGTGTGGAAAATTCTAGCCATCCCAGTGGAGTCCAGTGATTCTGAGGGTAATGCCAGGCAGCATCTGCTTCAGAAATGCACATGGGAAGCTCAGGGGCGGGGCCAGCTGTCTGTATTTAACCAGGTCTGCAGGGGAGTGTGCAAGCTGTTGTGACAGTTCCTGCCAAGGAGATGGCAGCTTCGGAGACCCCTGCTATGGAGGAAGCCGCCCTCTAACTTTGGGGAGTCACCCGAGTTTAGGTTCCTGAGGCTGCGTGCAGACGCTGATCTGGTGATGGTCTGGGGATCTGTGTTCACCAAGTGTGCCCCACGTGCCCCGTGTGGATGTGATGAGTCTCAGGGAACTCAGTCCTTTCACCAGCCCAGTTGCCCAGTGGCCTCTGCCGTTGCCTGTTGCTTCACTCACACACACACACATTCACACACACATTCACACACACACACACACTCACTCACACACTCACACACACTCATACACACACACGCACTCACACTCACACACACGCACACTCACACACTCACTCACACACACTCACACTCATACACACACTCACACACACGCACGCACACACTCACTCACACACTCACTCACACTCACACACACTCACACACACACTCACACACACACTCACACACACACGCACGCACACACTCACACTCACTCACACACATACTCACACACACTCACACTCACTCACACACATACTCACACACACACTCACACACTCACACACACGCACACACTCACACTCACACACACTCACACTCACTCTCACACACACTCACACTCACTCTCACACACACTCACGCACACACACACACACACACCGCCATCCCCTTTTGCCCTGTCTCTGTTGTCTCCCCAACAGATGTTCCTCTTTGTTCCCAGTCACCAGAAGTTAGTTAAGAACAAAACTGCCAAAGTAAACCAGGCACATCGTGAGCCCCAGCGGGATGGAATGCAGAGAGACACAGCCTTCTCCTCCTCCCACACCTCCCTCCCCTTCCTTAGACCTTTAATCTCCCATGCTCGCTCCTGCCTGGGAGCCAAAGTTCTTGCTATCGGCATGATTTGTGATTCTCTGCACGAGCCTACCTCTTGGCTTTGTTTAATTAGAATCAGGCTGGGGCTGTGCGTCCTCTGCTCATCAGAGGAGAAAGGGGAACCGGCTTGGGGATGGAGATCCCTGCTCTCTTCCCAAGCCTGTGTTGTCTGCATTTTCCTCCCCCACTCTGCCTTTCCTTGCCTGTGCCATGCTCTTTCTGGGTATCAGCTTCTCTTCAATTAGATTCTCTTCCCCGAGCGCTTCTGCTCCCTGCTAGGGGGACACTTTGTGTTTGGAGCAGACACAGAGGTCAGAATTCAAAGTCTTCTCCAAGCTCTTATGGAATCCCAGCCCCTGCCCCTGTCTCTGAAGAGACCCAAGAGATTTTTTTTTTTACCCAGCACGCAAAGCGTCATTCCCCTCCCCATTGTTGTTGTTATTGTTTATTTTTATTTTTTACAAAACGGGAGAAAAGAGTGAATTGTTTGGGGACAGGTGACACGTTTCTCCACAAAGGTACAAAACTGCCTATAGAAAGTCAACTTTAGAGCCCAGGCTATGAGATGAGGCATCCCTGGATACCCCTCTCCCCAAATACCCTTCAGATCCAGCTGGGGACACTCCCACTTTGTGACAGGCCGTCTTTCAGCCCTTGCCCAGGAGGGGGGGTGAGCAAGCAACTGAGACTATACAACGAAAGAAAAGAGGGAGGGGCAATTTCCTGTGGGCCAGGGGCCTAGGGACACAGGCAGGGGCAGCCAAGCTGGGGTCCAGAAGCTTCTGGGCGGTAGGAGGCTCTAGGCAGAGTCCACCCTGTTCCTTGGAGACACTCCTCAGAATAGCAGCTGAGGACCCCCAGGAGGCAACAGCAACCATTTGGGAAGCAACAAGAGCATCCCCAGGAGCCACAGAGCCCCATCTTTGTTGGTGAAGCTGCCAGGTCTCAAGCACGTGGATCAACGGCACTTTCCTGGCAGGTGTGTGGCCCAGGTCACTTCCCTTTTAGTGTAGAGTTGTCTTAGTTACTCCCCCACTTCTGAGACCCAGTGGAGCTTCAGGAATGTTGAGATAACGGTGCTGACAATCTCTCCCCATTTGAGCATCTGGGAGGGTTCCTTCCTGGGTTCCAGGGCAGGACAAGGGGCGCAGACACTACTCGGACAGAAGGGGCGCCCCAGCCCCAGAGAGCCCAGACTGGAAGGAGAGGCTTCTCACCACGCCTGGTCTGGCCTCTGCCAAGGTGGGCTACAAGCCCAGCTGTCAGCAGAAGGACAACAAGAACCAGGATGGCTATGAGCCCAGGCCGGTCCCCCAGGGCTCTGTGACAAGGAGAGGCCTCTTTAGTCCTGGCCCAAACACAAGCCAACTGGGTGTGGGCATCAACAAAGGCCACTTGCAGGCAGGCCCAGTACTCTGTGGCCGGAAGGAGGCGGGTAATGTTGTAGCGGTGGGTGCCCTGGGGCAGTCGAGCCAAAGCAGAGGCTTCATGGTCCCGGAGGGAGGAGGCGCTAGACCAGGTGAGGTTGGTGGAGACTATGTTGGGTGGGGACACCCAGAACAGCAGGATGTGATATGGGTGTGTCTCCTGCACACGGAGCTCTAGCCCTGGTCCCTTATCCCTGCCTGGCTGGAAGAGCGCATGGCCAACCACAACACTAACTGTCTTAGTGTCGGCCCCAACCAGGTTCTGGGCCACACAGGTATACAGCCCCGCCTCTTCTGCTGTGACCCTCCGCAACTCCAGCGTCCCCTCAGGGGACACCCGGTACCTCCTGCTTGCATGAGCAGGTGTCAGGCGAACTCCAGCTGGAGTGACCCAGTAGATTTCAGGCTCTGGTTCAGCCAGTGCCCGACAGTGAAGTACCATGCTCTGTCCACTGGCCACGTGCAGGCTGGAGGGGAAGCTGCGGGGAGAGATGAGGGGCAGGCAGCGGTCTGTCATCTCCCGGAAGGGCACCTCCCGGACCGGCCGGCGCTGGAGGTCTGGAGGCTCAGCACACAGGGTCGACTGTGGTTCGATGAACCGGACGTGGGTGCCCGTGGCATTGGCCCAGCGGATGACACAGTCACAGCGGATGGGGTTGCCGTGGAGCCCAACCTCCTGCAGGTTGGGCAGTGAGTCCACTGTCTGCTGATGCAAGGCACTGAGGGCGTTGTTGTTGAGCATAAGGGTTTCCATCTGGGGCAGGCGATGGAAGGCGCGCGGATGGATGAAAGAGAGCCGTGGGTTATTGGTGATGTCTAGCTTGGTCAGCTCAGGGAGGTTTACCAGGGCGAACTTGTCGATGGAGACCAGCTCCTCCATGTTGTTCAGTCCTAGTTCCTTGAGGTGGAGCATGTTGGCAAAGTCTCCCGGCCCTACACGCTGCAGTGGGTTTTTGTTCAGGTCCAGGAACTTGAGTCCAGGAACCTGTTCCAGTGCCCGCTTGGGCACCTGGACCAGCTGATTGTCATAGAAAGAGAGACTCTCCAGGCTTCGCAGTCCTTCCAGAGCGTAGTCTGAGATCTCCCGCAAGCTCATGCCCGCCAGCACCAGGCTGCGCAGGTTGGCCAGGGGTCGGAAGTTCATGTCCAAGATGGCATCCACCTTGTTGCCACCAATCATGAGGATTTCCAAGCTGGGCAGCATCTCGAACCAGCGGCTGTCGACGGTCCTAAGCAGGTTAGAGTTGAGATGCAGTCGAAGCAGATTGCTGAGGCCTTCAAAGGCCCTGGGGGCGATACGGCACAGCTGGTTATGGTTGAGATAGAGCTCCTGGAGGCTGGTCAGCCCAGCAAAGCTGCGATCCTCCAGCCGACTTAGCTGGTTCTCTTCTAGGTGTAGGCTCAGCAGCTGAGGCAGGGCCTGGAAGTCACAGTCCCTGGCATCTGAGAAGCTGTTCTGGGACAGGTCCAGCTCTGTGAGGTTGGCCAGGTAGGCAAGCTCGGTCTGGTCTATCCGGCTGATGCTGTTACTCTGCAGTAGCAGGGTTTGCGTGCCTGCAGGGAGTCCTGGGGGCACTGCCGTCAGGAAGAGGTCATTGCAGTCCACAGTGGTGGCCTCGCGGTAGGATGATCGGGGTGTGTACCAGGGCCGGATCTGGCAGGTACACTGAGGAGGGCAGGGTACACGCCAGGGCACCACGGGTACTGCGGCAGGGGTACCAACCACCCAGGATAGCAAGAGGGCAGCCACAAGGAGCCCCATGGTGGAGCTGGGAGGCAGGGGACCCTCCACAGGAAGAGTCCTGCTCTTCGTGACTTGCAGACTGAGGGTCAGCAGCCTTGCCAGGGTCTGGGGAACCACCCTCTCAGGACAGTCATTCTACGTGGGGTGGGTGGGCATCACTTCATGCCCTCTTGGGTGTGGTCCTCATCCTTGTTCCCTGGCCTGGGATTCACTCATTTCCTTGTGTGGCAGCCCTGGAAGAAGACAACAGAGTTAGGGATGTGTAGAGTTAAGCAGTGACATCTGTTCTTCCAGTCTCCCCGGTGGACTCCAGAAGCCAGAGGGGCAGCCCAGGAGCTGGCTGGAATGGGAACCAGGTTTCCTGGGCCCTGTTTTTCAGCTCTCAAGGTTCCAGGACCCTCCCCTGCCATATTCTCTAAGTCTTTGGATGACTCAGAGGTGTGTATGTGTATGGTGTGGTTTGTATTGCGTGGTATGGAGTGGTTTGGTGTGGTATGTGGTATGGTGTAGTATGGCATGGTATGGTGTGGTGTGGTTTGTATTGTGTGGTGTTGTGGTGTAGTTTGGTGTGATGTGGTGTGGTTTGGTGTGGTATGGTGTGTGTTTTGTTGTGGTGTGGTGTGGTTTGGTATGGTTTGTATTGTGTGGTGTTGTGATGTGGTTTGGTTTGGTATAGTGTGGTGTGGTGTGGTTTGGTGTGGTGTGGTCTGGTGTGGTGTGGTCTGGTGTGGTGTGGTATGGTATGGTGTGGTTTGGTGTGGTGTGGTGTTGTGGTGTGATTTGGTTTGGTGTGCTGTGGTGTGGTGTGGTATGGTGTGATGTGGTGTGGTTTGGTGTGGTATGGTGTGTGTTTTGTTGTGGTGTGGTGTGGTTTGGTATGGTTTGTATTGTGTGGTGTTGTGATGTGGTTTGGTTTGGTATAGTGTGGTGTGGTGTGGTTTGGTGTGGTGTGGTCTGGTGTGGTGTGGTATGGTGTGGTGTGGTTTGGTGTGCTGTGGTGTGGTGTGGTGTGGTTTGGTGCGCTGTGGTGTTGTGTTGTGGTTCCGTGTGGCGTGGTGTGGTAGGTGACACTGGGGTATTTAGGTTATGTGTGTGTGTATGGGAAGAAAGAATGGATCGGCTGAAGCTGTCATTGTTGGAGCTCAGATGAATGTAGAATAGATTTTTTTTTGACCTTTCTTACTCTTCCGTCCGCCCCTCCTTGGATCATTGGTTAAGTGAGATAAATGATAGTTTCTAGACATTTCCCTGGAGATACAGGAGGAAGGAGGTAGTGAAAGCAAACCCCGCTCTAAAATATGGGATGGGCTTCCCAGGGCTCAGGAGCTGGGACCCAGGACTCAGGAGCTGGGAGTGGGTCCGGACCCCACTCCCACATTGACTGAGGTGCTAGGTCGGTCCTTCCTGGGGTCTCCTCAGTGAGCTTTGGGTTTCCTTCCATCCTGAAGGCATGGGCCTTCCTCGCTCAGCGGCCTGTTAGAGCTGCCAGTGGATGTGCAGGGGCTGCAGCCTACTTGTCTCGTCCTGCAGGTACGGTCTTCTGTAATCTGGCCTGATCCATCCTGGTTTCTCTTGTCTCTTTTCCACTCGAACCTTCTGGGGTGAACTGACATGCCATCCCCTTTTGGCTTACTTCCCTCAGACAACTTCTGCTTGTTCTTCAAGACTCAAGTCCAGTCACTTACAGAGAGTTTCCCTTGGGCTACAGGATTTCTTAGAGGACAGTACGTTCGGGACACGTCCCTTTTGGGACTAAGGGGCTGGTATTGTGCTGAAGTGTTGTGCTTGCTGCTGTCCCCAGCCCCGCCCAAACCACGTGGGAAACGTCCTCATTGTAACACTGTCATTTTACCTGTAACAGTGGGGCGGCTGGTGTCCTCAGGGTCCCTTCCCCCAGGAGGTCTCCTTTACATGGAACCCAAGACACTCATGTTTCCTCCCTCCTGGCTGCATGAAATCAACCTGGCTTCTCTCCCAGACCCTAAGGCCAGGCTGTATTGCCCTGAAGGTACATCAAGCCTTGGCTTAGAACAGAAGCTGGACACAAAACTGGGCCATATCGGAGCTCTCCTCTTTGGCCTGCTCTGACTCCTCCGTAGAGAGGCCTTATGGGGCAGCTCTTTGGTGGCAGGTGTGTTTCAAAGACCCTGAGCTGCTTATTTCATGTGCAGCATTACCGAGGGGCCTTCACACCTCCAGTGTGTATGGGTCCAGAAGAACCCAAAGAACTCAGCTGAAATGTCACTACCGGGAAGCATCCACAGATAGGAAATCAGTCCAAGCTGGAGGCTGTGCTGTTTATACATCGCTCCGCCTCAGGTCTGACCCAGCTTGCTTTCGGCCCAAGGCTAGGGTGCTCTGGCTGCCCTGAGGCAGGCTGGTACCATCCCTGCGCCCTGTATGAGGTCTCCCTGCCAGGAAGCTGCAGGAAGCTCAGAGTGGTGTTCACCAGCTTCCAGGCAGCGCCTCTAGCTGGCCGCACCAGGATGCTGGGGCTCCTTGCCTCATCATCCTGCTTCCAGGATGCTGGGGGCGGGAGGGGGAGCAGTGGGGGCAGGTACCCTTCCCTGAGCAGGAGAGCCGCATGCGTGTGTACATCTGACTGCATCTCACTTCCCTCAGTCTCTGGAGGTGGGAAAACAACGGCCACTCGAAAGGCACAGAGTTTTGCGTAGGGGTATGTGTGTGCTGTCACATAGATCTCGGGGTAAACAAGCACACGTGCACACATGCATGCCGGCCTACACACGTGTGCAACGGAAGCCTGGGGAAGCTGGGGGGAGAGGGAGGGGCGCCCGTGGTGTGCTTTGTGGATTGGGAAGCTGCAGGAAACAAGCTGGGAAGCTCCTGCCATGCAGCTGGCTCTAAGTGCCATGCTTCCTTGAGCTCTCCAAGCAGCCTTTGCTTCATGTTTCCTTTATTTTCTTAGAGAAAAACTGCCACGAGCCTGAAATGATCGTGTTGCTCAAGTAGAGAGTTCTAGAAATGTTAGCTCCTTTTCCAAGGTTGGGAGGTGTTCCTGCCATGTAAGACCTCTGTTTTCCTTCCTTCCCTCCCTCCTTCTCCCTCCCTTCTTCCCTCCCTCCCTCCTTTCCTTCCTTCCTCTTGCTATGTAGCCGAGGCTGTCCTTGAACTCAGGACCTTCCATCTCCCAAGTGCTCAGAGTACAGGTGTGCAACACTGTGCTTAGTGATCACAGGACTTCTTAAGGAACAATAGACTTCTAGGAGACAGATAATAAGGTGCAACAAGCTCCCTCTCTACTAAGGTTAACCCCTGGGAGCCCCCTACTGGCCTCCAAAGTGGGGTGGAGAGTTCTGAGCCGGTAAAGGATGCCAATGGATGAAGAAACCCCAGGACAGTTTCCAGCTGGAGAGGAGGGTGAGGCTGAGTAGCTGAGTAGGCAGCAAAGGCTCTTCAGAGAGGACCTCAATGAGCCACTTAACCTTTAGATAAGACCTGAGCCCCTGGCTTTCCTCTCCTCCTACAACGTCCTTGTTCTGTGTGCCAAGCCAACATTCAACTGTGCTCAAGGCATTAGAAGCCACCAAATCCTACAAAGTTCTGTGGCAGACAGCTCCCTAGCGGGCCTCATCTGTCTACCCGAGCAGGAATTGCAGAGTGTGCCATTCCTGGGCTAGGAACAGGGCGGGCTTTAAGAGGAAGAGAGAAGTGGCAGCTGAATCTGGACCCCCAAACTGTGGCAAATCCTTGGAGGAGTCTGTCTTTTGAGGCTGGGCACATGACCCCTCTTGGGATGGAGCCTGGAGCTGCCCATTCATTTGCCAGCACCATTAAAGGCTGTCATGGCCCTACTCATTCAAACTGATTAGCGAGTTCTAGAGGAGCTGCAGAGAAAGCGGATGTCTTTTCTTTATAATGTCCAGGTCACTAAGAGTTCATGAGCACATGTGCATGTCCCTCAAGTGGTCTGCAAGCTCCTTGTGTCCACAGAGAATCAAGTGACTCAGAGTATTTGAGGGTGAACATGAATAATAAAACCTACAGAACACAGAACATTAAGATTCACATCTCCACCGGCTCCGTGCGTGGGCAACGAAGGGATTCTTTCATTTTGTCAGGGAGACAACTGAGCTTCAGAAAGGTTACATAGCTTCTATGTGGTGAGGGAAACCAAGAATTTTTTTTTAATTACTATAATCTACTCCACCAGCCAAATCAACAGGGATCAGTGCTTGTTTGAGGAGGGCTGGGTGTTGAACTAGCTTGGAACACTTGCCTCAGTTACAAGTTCTTTCAGAGATGGTGATAGGCCCACCACACCCCTTTCTTGGCTTCTGGGCTAGACCGATCGCCTTGAGGGATATGCAGGAAGGACTCTGTTACTGTTTGAGCCTTGTTACATGGGCCTGGAACAATAGAATCAAACACAGCTCGGTGCAGCACATGGACCTGACCCTGCTATCTGACTGTGCAGTGGGTGCTGGAGGGTCCCGGTGGCACCCTTCAGGCCCCACAGCTGGTGGCTTCCCCCAAAGGCACACGGCTAGCCTAGAAGGGCTTGTGCTACAAACCTCAGTGGACCCTGGATTCGTTCCAGGAATCATCTTTGGACTTGGCAGAATGCATGGAATCGATCCTACAATCCCTCTGCTATGAAGACACTGGGCAGAACTCTGAAGGAAGAGTTTTGGGGGATGCTGTCGCCTTCCTTCCTTCTTCTCTGTCCCTACACCCTGCGGCACGGTGGCACATGCAGACCCCCTCCGTTTCACCTTTCTATCGCTCTCTGCTTCCTTCTCCAGCCCATGCCAACCCCCGAGAGCAATCTTGCAGCAGGAGGCTAGCAGGCAGGCAGCTACCGATTGCCTGGCCTCGGCTGCTCTGGTACCAGGTCCCTCTGAGCTGTGGAGAACAGATGGGCGGCATAATTGAGTGTAGCGTTGATAAACTCTGGCCCAGTGATAAGCACTGGGCAGGAGCGGGGGAGGAGGTGGCAGGCCAGCCTCCATCCGTACATGGGGCCTCGGGTTCCCCTGGGAGGTGAGCAGGTCCCTCACTCCTACCTCTCACTTAATCACACACAACCAGAGCTTCTGCAGGGAGACCCCAGTGTTTATCTAGTCTTCCAGAGCCTGAATTCCATAAATAACTTATGCGAGGGAGGGCCGGTGGTGCAGAAGGGAGGGGCTTTGCCAAGGGGTTTGAGCCCAGCTCTTCCACTCTCCCTGTGACCTTGGGCAAAGCACCCAGCTTCCCAAGTCTTAAGTGT